GCCTGTTGTCATGGGAAGACTATTTTTGCTGTGATTACGGTTATGCAGACTATTACATAGAGTAGCTTTCCTGTAGCTGTTATCTGCTCCACTAACATCACAGTTGTGCAGACAATAGTAGTTCTCTAAGTTTAAAAAAAACAAGGAGTCCTTAGAGTGATGCAGTTAAATTACATTGCTAATTATTAACATCTTTTTCAAAAAAATCCAACTGGAGTCTATCACTGTGCCTTCCACCACCGCTTCCGCTGAAGGCACCATTGCGATTGGCCCGGTGCAAAGAGGTGGGTTTTGTCAGGTAGAGTTCAGCCTGCAAGCACTTAAAAGTGGCCACCACAAACTTGAGAGAAATTAGTAGGGACTGCCTATTTCCTTCCCTTTTCTTCTGTTCCCAGTTATAGTACCTATGAATGAAAGGAAAGAAAGGTATCTATAAGCAAAATCTAGTGGAAAACCTGCCTTTAAGAGTAATACCTCATAACATGCAATCCTCCCAAATTACGTGTTTGTCTCAGGGTATATGCAAACAATTTAGGGATCCACAAACTGAAGGAGGTTGAAAAGCTCTGTGAGGGGCCAGCAGAAGCTTCTCCGGGAACAGTTAACATTATGGGAAACTTCAGATGGAGTGCCCGCTCTTAGGCAGCATATTTACCTGGACAAAACCTAATGCTTTGTGGTGTAAATCTGATTTTTTTCAAGCTATGTACTTGGGGATTTTTCTGTATGAAGTCAGGAGACTCAGTCCTTTGAAGGTGGGCAAGGTTAGTGAACTCCTAAGGAGACAATCTCGCCAGGGAAATAGCTTTCCTAGTAGGATGAGGGAAGGCTATGGAATTGTGAATGATGTTAGCACTTGGCAAATGTCTCTTGGTTTTGGGATCTACAGTGCTGTGACTGAGGACTGCTAGGCCTAGCTCTAATTTGGTGGCAGATCATCCCTTCTGCAAGCCTTGAAAGTAATAGAGGTTTTCATTCACACAACTGCCTTTTTCCAGCCTTCTGTGGGAATCTCTGCAATGCCCCTTCAGCTCTAGATGAATATGCTCAAGGATTTGCTTTCCCAAAATGTAGTTTATGTGAACAAAATATCACTTTGATGAACTCAAAATCACCAGCTGAACATGCTCTTATACAAGCTCTAACAGAACAGCAGTATCTGTTAATAGAAGAACAAAATCTGTTTTCCTTTCTCTTTCTTATGTGTTAAGACCCCTGACTAATCAACAGCTGTAATGCTTGCAAGTTTTTAGAGCCTTCTGGCTTAGACACTTGTGATATAACATCACTTTTAAAATATTAGTCTGTGATTCTGTGCATTCTAAATGAGTTACGTATAAAAGAGTTCCAGCTGGGGAAAAAGAGCAGCGATGCGCCTTTTAATAACTCTGCTGCAAACCTCAAATTCTGTGTCCCATAGATATACCAAAAAAGGCAGAGAGTTGAAATTTGAGTGCATCTGTAAGTAATAAAATGTTTCCTTCCATATGTCAGTTACTCATCGCTATTCCATTTGAGTTTCAAACAGTCGTTACATGCATGGTACATATTACTTCCTGCTCTTTCTTCTCCACTTCTCCTCACATCGGCCTTCTTGGATACACCCAAATGGCATAAATATCTGGGAATGATTTAGGAGAAAGATATTAAAGATTATGGGAAGACTGACTGTAACAACAGAATGGCTGTTACAGGACACTTTCTTTTAATTGTTATTTTTTTAGGAAGTGCTCCATCGTTTCCCAGACCTCCTATTGTCTGAAAATCTTGTTTTCAATTTTTTGCTGTCCTAATTTTGATCAATGATTTATGCTTTTCACGAGACTGAGTCACGACGAGGGTGGTTTTTTTCCTCTCATTTTGTCAGACTAAGTTTATTAAATATGTCCTGGATGATCTGACTTTATTAAATCACAAATCATGAAATATGTAAGCTTGAATAAAATAAAGACTTGGAGATTTTCAAATTCAATATATATGAGAATATCTTTTAGCTAGTACTTAGCAGGTGCTCATCTACAGTATATCCGTGAGACTTAGATTTATGCCAGTGTAGTCAATAACCAGACAGGAATCAGTGATCATTGGTGTGTAGTATGTGAAGAATTTAGGTCACAGGATTTTGCAGCATTATATTCTTGGAATAAAAAACGTAAGTAGGGTAATGATGGACGAGAATGCAGTCTCTGTCAAGCGGTAATGAGCAGTTTTTATGGCTTCAGGGCCAGATTAAAGGGCTGATAATAGAGACATCCTTGCCTGGTGTTCCTGCCATTTTAATAGATCTGAAAATAATGCTGTTACGTAGAAGTGACACGAGGACCATCACTTCAATTGTTAACCAAGGGAAATAGCCCATTAGATATTTGGCCTTTGTAATAACTAAAAAAAGACTTATAGAGCTAGAGTTTGCAAACTTCTTTTTCCTTCCTGAACTTTTTAAAAATGTAGTGCAGACCTTTATACAAGCTTGTTGGCAGTAGATTTGTTTTTCCTACTTACCTTTTGTGGATACCTTGGAAGTCATCCATGGGCCCCCATGGATTCCCAACTGACAAGCTAGAAAATATTGCTAGAGCAAATATTAAATCAAATGCATTCTTGTATGGCATAAAATTGCAAAGCACAGCTTCTGTGCTTGATACTCACTTCAGTACCATAAGGTATTCTTTTATTTTCATTAATTGGCTCTAATTCTGTGAAGATTAAGCTTAGAAAAATTATTTTAAATGGCTGTGCGCTTTTTGTTAACTGTTGGATTTTTTTTTTTTTTTTTAAACCCAAGTGAATTATAATTTCAAGCGGACTAAAGCAGCTATGTGCTTCTGAGCAACCGGAAGAAGAGATACAAGCTGTGGGTATATCGTGGGTGCTCCTATCCCAAATCTACTAGCTGGTTTTCCCAGAGGGAGTCTATCTGGGAAAAGTGCAATGCATTTGTCTGTGCAAACGTCTATGGGTTTTTAAGTCAAGGCATGCTTCTTTGTGTCTCCAGTTTGAGAGTGGGCTTATGTTGTGCCCAAGCTCTGCTAGAGAAGAATTGTTTGCACTGGAAACAGTGGCTGAAGGAAGAGTTTCTCTGTCCAGAGAAGCTGCAGGACGTATTCATCAAATAGAGCTGGATGTCTAATCTGAATGTATTTGGGGTTCACTGAACCATATAGTTCCCCATATACTAAACATTATACTAAATTTTAAGACTTTCTGTAGGGAATAGTTTTCTTGTTCTGATGTAGCTGTGTCATCTGCAATACTAGATATTAAATAATGTAGTTTACATTGTATCCTTTGCACCCCCAGAAGAAAATACAACAGAAGCTAAATTTGCTGCTGAAAATGACCAGGTTTTTCTTCCATTTTTGTTTCCTCTGTTTTCACCTGGTTTAAACTTTGAGAACGTTTCAGCATAGCTAGAAATAAAAGCTTTTGGCAGCCAGAAAAGCCATAATTCATTGAAAGAAAGGGAGTGAATGTGATGGTGGGGAGCCTGGCTGACTAGGCACTTGAGGCTTGGTTTGGGCTGGGTAGCTGCTCAGCTGTCTTACAGAAATTGAAACTTTGGAAGAATGAGCAGAAGTCACTTCAGTCTTCTCTGATTGTATGAGTTTGGAAAAAGCAACAAAACATTTAGGGTTTTAGGGGTGAGGGGCAGGATTTGTGGGGTTTTGTGTGTGGTTTTTTTTTTTTTTTTTAGAATTCTAGTAAGTTGGCTTCTGATGTAGGCAGAACTGAGAAATGGCCTAGGGGATAAATTGATTGGTAAATATACTAATATTGGAAAAATACTAATCTTCAGTGCTAGAAATTCTGGCCACAGATTTGTGATAGTTTGTATGAAAACAGAAACAATTTTCATCCTCTCACGTTTGTTTGCTGACTTGGACTGTTTCTCAGCTGTTGCTGTTCTATGAACCTGTCAAATGCTCCTGGCAATTTCTGTTATGTAAGTTCTACAGGTAGATCTTAAATTTTTGCCAGTTCGCAGTTGGTAATATTTGCTACCTCTGATATCTTCCGAAGGTTGTTTGCTTTGTGTATACTCATTGGCAGCCACCTGCATTTCCTCTTAAGTGTGTTTCATTTTTTTCCTTCCTGATATTGAGGAGTGGACTATTTTGTGTCGTGATTGTAGCTGAAATTAAAATGGGGTGAACCTGCCTGTTCCATTGTTGCAATCTGATCAATAGCAGGATATTTGTCTTGTGAAAGGGATTTGTTTTCCTACAAGGAAACAGTCTCCACTGAGTCTTAATTGCAATACCAACTATACACCTACCAAGGCACTTCAGTGCTTCCTTTAGAGACATCTTGCAAAGGAATTAAGTCATTTGGTGGCGGCCAGATATCATCTTGAATTGCTGCTTTGGACTACCGCCAGTTTCAGGCAGACCGTGTGAACCACAAGCAGCAGCTGAAAGCAAGACTTCTGTATATATGTGTGTGTGTGTGTATATATATATACATATATATGTTTTAAATCAAACTGAAGAATGATTTTTCTGCTGCAGGAACTCTAGAAGGATGGAAGAGTAATCAGTTACCAAAACTCTACTTAAAAGAAAAAAATATCACAAATGCAAATGTTCTTAATTTTTAGGACCTCTAGGGGGAAAAAAAAATTATCTTAGAAAGTCAGATTTGGGTCTGTTGTGTAGGAGCATTACCCCCTCCGCAGTTTGGTGCCCCTTTAGGAAAGCCAACAGCAAACGTTCTGTAGACTAAAATGGCCAATCAATGTCTTGTAGTAAAAAGTAATCACAGATGGAAAACCTTGGGACTCGAAGTGGAACAGGAGGTTCTGGAGATGATATTGAATTCAGTAGATGCATTTTGGCATAGTAGTACTCTTTGACTTAAAACTCCATTTACAATTGGCACACTCCTCTTTTTCTTTTCTTTTCTTTTTTTTTGTTAAAAAAGTCGTGGGAAACAGGCCTTCACAGAAATGCTGGTGAATGAAAGTATCTGCCCCTACTACTTTTATTACGAAGGTATCAAAGATGCATGGCTCCCATAAGGTTACTAATGCTCCGCGGAGAAAGTGCAAGCTGCTATGGAGAAATGTAGTTTTTAGTGTTTTAAATCCTGAAGTGTTTAGTCAGCCTAAGGTAATTACTGATACCTTGTTCTATTATCAGCTCATTTTAGCAGAATATCTCTTCAGTGGGGGAATACTTCTGGATGTACAAAAAAGTGGTGGTCACAAGAAGCAAACTTTCTAGCTTGTTGAAGTTACAGCTCAATTTGGGCAGAGGTACATCAATTTAGGAACTGTAGCATCTTTTCTGAGCATAATTTTGGAGGCATGCTTTCTGATCTAGCTGGAAATGCCATAATCCTTAATTAATAGCATTGTCTTTTAAATATTTGTAATCGATAGTCCCAGTTGCTCATTGTAACTTACAAAGAGTTTGGTGTGATGTATGCCAAAGATGGTTTTTTGATATGTGTTCCTATTGCTTCCTATTTGATATCGAATGACTGACTTCAGATGGCAGTCCTTAGACTTGTATATCTGGTATCTTGACAGAAGGGTTTCAGTTTTGGGATTTGCTTCATTCTTGTCACAAAAGCTCTTCAGAGTATATTGCAAATCCTATTTATTCATTCATGCATTTAATGAGACGAAGTGTGATTTGAAAGGGCCTTTCTTCCTACAGATTGGGTGGTTTTTTAGTTTTCATTGTGCAGTTAGGTTTTTTCTTAATGCTGTAATTCTTACAAAATTCTTTAACACCTTAGACAAATGTGTTGCGTAAACTGAAACTATAAACTGTTCAGTGTGCCAACATTAACTTTTGAAATAGGAGTGAAGATTAAGAGACTGCCGCACTAGAGAACTGTTATCTTTTTAACCATTCACTCTTACCTGTTTTCCAGAGAACAGATTTGACCTCTGATAAAGACTTATACCTTGACAACAGCTCCGTTGAAGAAGCATCAGGCGTCTATCCAATTGATGATGATGATTATTCTTCTGGGTCAGGTTCAGGTGAGACAACATGTTGCAGTTTGTTTTCAAAAAGTGTAAGAAGTAATTTAAATATTTGGGGAAAAGCTGTGCAGTTTTCCCATGTGAGTTGGAGGTGATTCTTTTGATGAGAATCTGGAGTACTTGGTTCTGCATTTAGAGTGCTAAGCACCTCTGCAGGCTGGCTTTTAAATATTAGCTTTCTGCTCTTTTCTCTTAGTCCTTAGTTGCATCACTTCACTCTTGCCCTCCTCCCTCCACTTATCTTCTTTCTGCTGCCCCTCCTTGTTTCTGTGCAGCTCTCCCTGGAGTTTAGAAATAAGGATTATAGAAGGCTTACTTCTCCCATGGCATAATCCTAATTTAGCAGTCTTTCTGAAAACATTGCAGCAGCAATCCTGTTCTCTCTTACATGCATTCAGGTTCTGATAAATAGAGTTAGTGTCAATTTCTTTTCTGTTGTTGTTCTTTTAAATTTAGAATTCTAGATATTGCCACAAACATGAGAGTTTTCTCAGAGGTAATTACATCAATATAGTGGATAAAGAAATTCATAAACATAGCATACGGAATTCTCAAATTTAAAAATTCATTGGAGGCTTTTAGTTCATAATTTTTCAAAAAGCTGTCAGTGAAACCTCATCAGTTGTTTCTCTTAAAGCCTCTTTTCTAGAATGTCTTCTAGAGTAGCTGGAAGACTGCAATCAGTAAAAGTTAAATATGGGATTTTATTGCAGTTTCAAAAGAGAAATTTCCTTATTGTTGTTGGTATTTGCTGAGTGGTTGTGGAAATTCCATTTATCTTCCAAATGTGCTATTTATTTGTTTGTTGTTGCACTTTTTGTAATCTATCTTTTGATGCTATAGGTACTCGTGATTTTTTAAGTATAAGCCCTTCTTGAAGAGTCTTATCTTTGTTACTCTTGTAAGCTATGGCTGAGATCTCTGTAGGGGTTTTGGGTTCTCCTTCTTGCAAAGATTCAAAGGTATATTCAAATTAATTCTACAGGTATCTGATTCTGTTGCTGGGCAGATTCAGGCCCGTTGGGCACTGACACCTTGCATTTTGGAGTCTTCTGCAGGGTGAATTTGACATGTCAATGTTATCGGTGGCTTGATTGGACCCCTTTGCTGTAGGCCTCTCTGAGGGAAATTTCACATGAAAAAAATTTAAATTAACAATTCAGTAATTTGGTCCAGTTCCTAGGACTGTCCAAGGAAAATTCTGATCTCTGAGAAATTTGCCTTTTTAGTCAGTGTCCCATTCTGTCATGTCTTCAGAAGCTGATGACTTTGTAAGCTTCAGGAAGGGAAACAGGCTGACAATAAAGAGAAGTATGGAAAAAGTTTTATTTTTTCCTCCATCTTTGGAAATTGGCTTTTTCTCATACAGATGATTCAAAACGCAGCCCGCCCTTTAAATGGAAAAGATTATACAAGAACCGGCATTAGTCTTTCTTAACCCGTCTCAGTGGTGAAAGTGGAACTAGAAGGACTAAAAAGTACCTTTAGACCTGACCAACAGTAACATCTCGATTTCCTCCTCTCTTTCCCTGTGCTCAGCCATAAGCTGTAGTTGGAAGTCTGAGTGGCTAACATGCACTAAGGAAATTGCGTGCTCTGGCACCCTTGTGTTACCTCTAGCAACCTCTGTTCCTCTCCTGCGAGGATTCTTGTAGACTGAGGCTCCTGTGACAGTACCAAAATCTAATTCTTTGGAACAAAGGAAGAAGTCCAACTTCAGATAATCTTCTGAGCAATTTGTGAACCCAGTTTTGTTCTCCTGAGGACAAATTTCTAAAGAAGGAAGAAAATTGTCACCCTCTTCCCCCATACTCATCTTCACAGAATTTGTCTGTGAAGATCCATTTACTGCTATCTCCATTTTATGAAGTAGGAGATGTCCTGCACATGTACCAGTGATAATTTTTTCCTCATATTGTGCTGAATGTGTCTCTCTCTACTTGATGCTCAGGGATGCAGTGCTCCTAGTGGAAGAGACTTCTCACTCGAGAGTAGTTTTCTTGCTATGTAATTCCACTCCAGATCCAAAACAGATCTAAGAGGACAACATGCAGACTCCCTTCTGTGGTATGAAAGTTGTTAGCTGTCGCCAGGCCTATGGAGATAAACACAAATTGTCAGGACCACCATTAATGCCCTCGCAGGTTTGCAAGTAGCATTAATGTGGACAAATGTCACTGTAAGCATGACGCATTTCAAGCAAAAATTGGCTAACGGCTTTTTCCGAGATTAAAAAAGATGGTGATATTCTGTTCTCCCCTGTCCCCCCGCCCTCTTTTTCATTCATAGTCTCTTTATCCTTCATGTACACTAATCTACTGATATTCACTTGCACAAGTGTTAGTCAAAATCCTTTGTTCAACAGTTTTTGAAGAAGCCATGCCTTCTCCTGTTGATACAGGACAATCGGGAAGCAAGGCTGTTGTGAATTTATTAGTCCTTTTTTTTTTTTTTTTTTTTTTTTCCTTCCTCTAATGGCCTTCATCTCTGTGGAGACTCCTCGGTCTCCATGTCATCACTGCTTTTAGTGTAGGAGTTTGTTTATAGTGTAATAAAAGAGTTGAGATGAGTTTTCCTATCTACAGGCAAATTGAAATATTTTATAATAAACTGTTTTTATCTTTTCCCCTGGCATAAAAGATTTTAACAGAGCCCTGGTCTTGCAGGTACCTAGGAAGTAACCACTAAGAAGCGTGACCACTCTTATGTTCAGCCAAGGCACCGTCTCTGTTAGATTTATGTACAAAGTCTTCGGAAATGTATCCGATTCCTGGATCTTATCTTAAATTATTCCTGGTAGAGAAGTCTATGCAAAAAATATCAGAATCCAGTGAAGATTTTCCTCCTTCTTCTATTCACCAAAACAACTATTTCTCAATCAATTCTAGCCTAAGTTCAGAAGTATCGTGGTTAGCTTAGGGCAAAGTAGGTCTAGACTGATGTTGTGATTGGGAACTTAGAAATCTGAGGAAAGTTATGATGAAAGGGGAAGAACTCCAGGAAAAAAAAATGCAAAAGCAGGTCTCCTGAAACCAAAGTCACATCGTAAAGCAGAGAGGGTTTTTTGGTGCCAAGAGGCAGTGCAGTGCCGGTTTGGGGGCGACGCCTGGACCCTGCGGGGAGCCCGCAGTCGCTGGTGGTGGCTGGCCCTGGGGCTGGGCCCCGGTGCTCTCCATGGTGCTGAACGCTGGCATGGCAGGAGTGCACACTGCCAGGCCCAGCACGAGGGATACCAGCTCTCCTCGTTGGCTTTCCCTTACTTGATGCAGAGAACACAGCAAGTATTAATTTCTCTGCTTCCCAAAGCCCCAGTCATGTTTATCTTTTGGATTGGCTTGAAGCAAGGGCTTCCTCTGTCCACCTGCTATGCCAGCCCCAACCATGCTTCAGGAAATGACTGCCTAGTTCTCCAGGTACCTTAACGTAAAAACCTACCATGATCCTGTTTTAAATCAGGTTTTTATTGTGTTGGACAGAATCCTATACTTAAGTAGAGTTGGGGCTCATCCTTTTATTTATTTCTTCAAGGATTTTCTTCTCCCACCTCCCAAGTGAGAATTAGCAGAGAGACAACATCCTTGCAGTCCCCATTCATTTCATCTCCAGTTCTCTGATAGGGCACTAGTATTATGTTCAGTGGTAACCCTGGTTGTCTAACATTATGCTGACTAAGGGTTAGGTTGGCAGCTTTCAGCTGGCTCACCTCACCCCCATTGCCACCAAAAATATCTAGCACGTTCTGGTACATGTCACATTGATGATGAGAGATGGAAAGTATGAAAGAGATGCTGAATAAGTGTGTAGCCACCTTATGCCAAGCTTTCTTGTGGTGGCAGTACTCCCAGAGTGAGATATTCAATAGCAAGCAAACATGATGCCGAACACAAAAGGTAGGGTGAAATGATTGGATTTATTTGGCAGGAAGAGGTATTCACTAGCTGCCTTGCAATTAAGAGTGCTGACTACTGCCATAGTTGGAAGTGTAAAATTTCTTGAATCATCTCTATAGTGTACAATTATTTATATTGGCACGCAGTCTCGATTTGCTGACAAGTTTCCTCAGGCAACAAGTGTGTGAAGAAGGATTTGTGTTCCTATTATCCAGGAGGGAGCTGATCATGGACACATTACTGAGGGATGTATTAGGTATTTCCAACAGTGCAGCACAATCTAGAGTAATTTTGACCACTATGAAGATAGTATCTGGGCATTCTAAAGAAGCTGCAGCAGATTTTAAAAAAAAAAAAAAAAAAAAAAAAAAACCCAGATACGTGATGGTTGAGGGCTCTCAACTCTTTACTTCAAAGATTGATATGAATCCACTTGTTGCAGGGTTCTTGTGGTACCCTCCCTAAGAGGGAAGTATCTCTTTCTAGTGAGAATCGAGGCAGTTAATACCCAGCAACATCACCCAAGCTGGCCAGTTCCAGAAGCCTTCTAAAAAAGTAACAACACTTTCAGAAGGATGAAATGAACTCTTATACTCTGACCATTTCCTAGTATTCCCCCTAACAACCTATTTAGAAGCTATGTCCATACCACTCTGTAGAATTTTTCTTTTATTTTTCTTTCCTCATACTTTGGACATGTTTGTTCTCTTATTTTTACCTTTTAGGGAACATGATAATGTGTAAAAATCCTATTGCTATGTTCTAGACAGAGCTAGAGAGCTTTCTCTGATCCCTCAGTCCTGTTTAAGGACAATTCTGAGAAGATTACTGTACGTCTAGCAAGGGAAACAGCTTCCTCCTATTAGACCTACTTCATGCCAAGGAGAAACCTGTCTAGATAAAGCTAATTAGAAGCAGTAGCTGTAGAGATGTGTCTGAGCAGATACCTGAGTCGAATCTAAATGATAGGTGCCTCAGTGTTCTTTGGGTTTTCAGACCTCCTCTGAAGCTGTATGGAAGAGGAGTTGGGTACCTTTGCTGGAAGTCCAGTGACTAGTCCAGGGGTTATATTAGTCACCCAAACGTTGAGACTTGAGATCTGTATCCTCCTTAGCCAGAGGTCCAGACTTACAGCTGTCACTACCTGGAAGAATGTTCAAAGCAACAGGCTGGGATGAGGCTATGTCTTGTTTTCTCTGTTCAGCCAGATCACTGCATTTTCCAGGACTGCAAGATTTACGGGAGGAGGTAGAGGAACAAGGGGAGATTGAATGTAGGCAGCTACTAGCATGCTGACAGTCCCATATTCTGGTCCTAACTTTAGTGCTGTTCACACATGTTCAATGAATCTATGATGCAAAATGTCCCTACAGCAGGGAACAGAGTCCAGAAAGGTTTGTGTAGCAGTACCTTGTGAAAGATGGAAAATTTATAGTATTTTATATTATATGAGGGAAACAATCTCTTATTTTGGATCCCTGTTCTTAGAAGGGGAGCCAGATCCTCATCTGTGCAGCTACATTACTATGAGGGTCCCGTTGTAACTTGCTTGTGTACTTTAGTATGAAACTCAGGAAAATATGGCTTTTTCTTAAGCAGTTTTCCTTTTTTATGTACAAAAAATGATTTATCTGGCAGACACAACTCTTACCTGAAGTGGAGGTGGCATTTAAGGATTTGAGAGATTGGTTGTGATTAAATGGGCTTTATCATTCTGTAGGAAGATAAAAATAAAGTTCTCTACTCTCAAAGAGTATTTTATCAGACTTCTGATGTGATTATCAGTTTTAGTTTTCTTGACTGTGAAAATCTGATACAACTTGGAGGAACTTTGGAAGGTAAAGTAGGCTGAACTATCCACTAGGCCCCTGTTTCTCAAAGGAAAATATTGAAGCATGGCCAGGACAATTTTCCTGCTGGATACCTTTCCTCATCTACATCTTGAAACAGGATGTTGTTTTTTGATCTTTGAGTAGTATTTCGAGAAGATATTTGATTCATGTTGTATAAGGTCTTTATTATGTAGGTTGCATGTAATTTTAGTATTTCTTAAGGCCTTTCCAGTATTATTCAATATTAGTAACTTTAATATACTGCTTTCTAAATTATTCCAAATGAGTTTTTCTACAGTACAGGAGTTGTTTTAGTTATTCTTTTTAACACCCTTTCTTTCAAAGCCAAATACGTATCATTCCTCATGATGAGTTCCAGATTTTACTATTACATTTGGGTGTTCAATCTGTTTTATTTTTATGCAAAAATAACATACAAGTCAATTTGGAATGACTGAGTCACACTATTCTGTTGTAAGAGGCTATATTTTTATTTGTTAGGAATTACTTCCATGCGTATTTGCTAGACATATTACCCAATAGCTAATTGGGTAACCAATGTCTGTAACGAGCAGAAGAGATAGTGAGATTCCTGAGGAATGGTCTATAGATCCATTCTTCTCCTCTTTCAGCCCTTGCAATAATTTAGTCCATTGTCTGCCTCTCGTTGCCTCTAATATCAGTAAAGGATATTTATTAGTCATGTCCATTATCTCGTTCTAAAGGAGCCTTGATACTCGAGGAGGGCTTTGAGTGTGGAGGAAATTAAATTTAAGGTCACCTTTAGCGAATTTTCTATCCCTTTACCCTTTATTTCAAAAGAAAAAAGCTTTTGAATTTTGCACAATTTGAAAAAAATGTGAATTCCTAGTAACTGAAGCATAAAGTAATAGCAGTCTTTCTGTAGGGGTAGTAGATGGCAACTACTTGTCTTTTAATGTTTAGAGGCAAAATAGGTTTGCTGTAAACAGTTTTTGCTGTTGTTGTTGAAGCAGTGTTGCAGGGAAAAACTGCTCAGTTCACATAGTTTAAACCAAATCAGGACTGAAGCAGTTTGTTTTTATTAATGATATGTAATTAACAGGCAGTCATTGAACTACACTGTTCAGGATCAATATCAGCAGTAAAACAGAAAAGCACAATACTAGCCACTTTAAAAATAGTGATATAGAACTACACATTTCTGAACTCCCTCTGTAACTAGGCCCAGCAAGTGCAACACGTGTGTGCACACAGACTAACATGCATACACGCAACCCCCTTGCAGGCTGCGGGGCTAACTGTTATCCCTCGTCTGGGCGTACAGGACCCTCTACTTGCACACCCCTGCTGTGGGGGACACAGGTGCCCCAGTCTGTGCCATCGCATGCCACCCTGGACACTAGCAAGCGAGCTGCCAGGGTGCCCCCACGCATGGGAGCATGGGTCCCCTTGGTCCAGCATGCCAGAGCTGGATGTGGCAGCCCACGGCACCCCTCGGGGGCTGCGCTAGTGGGCCCAGGCAGAGCCTTGATGCTGCGAGGCCCCTTCTGGCCAGGTCATGCCAGCCCCAACTTCTGCTGTTTCCATTCCAGAGTATCTCTCCCTGTTATAAATTTTCGTATTTCTCTTATACTTCCTTTAGGCTGTTTCATTCTTTGTTTCAGAAGCATCTTTGTAATTTCCTGGCTGCTGCTTAAACCAGCTGATGGTCATCTTCCTCTTCAACATGATCAGTTAGGGAAAACCTCCTGACAGTTTGGGGCACACAGTTTGCTGTTAACTACACCTGTTAAGATGAAAATATCTAGGTCATTTGCCAAAGAAGGGCTGTGTGAGCGCCCCTACAGCAATATTACAATAAAAATTACAATAGCTCTGGAAGAATTTTGCACTTCAATGACATGTCAACCTTTTTGTCTTCAGGTGCTGAAGAAGAGGAGGACAGCGCGGTAATAACATCCAGAACGCTTCCAAAGATACCAACAACTAATGATGTGTTGAGAGCTGAGATGACCACAATGAAAATGCAGACTAAGATGCCAGCACAGACAAAGGTGTGGGGGTAGAGCAGCAACACCATCTAAAATGGCTCTGCTGTGCCCTGTTGTTGATTTGATGTTAACTGTTTGATTTACATCTATTTAAAAAAAAACAAAAAACAAAAACCCCTCACTTAATGTTATTACAAGCAGTTAAATGAATGCAGAGCTGCTCAGACACTTTCATTCCCAGTAGAAAGTCTGGGTAGTGACATCTGGATTTCACGCGCACAAAAACAGATACATAAACAAGAAAACAGTTTCTCATGATTGAATGTGAGCTGAAGCTTCAGCCTGTCTTGCATTCATTCTTGCTGTTCTTCAGTTTAGATTAGCGGCTTCTACTGCCTTTGCTTTAACTTGAAGCAACGTACCTTTTTTTTACATCTCTCAAGGAGGTAGTCTAAAATTCTAAGTTAAAATTTTCCTTTGAGAAGGAAAGCTTATGTGGTTTAACTGTTTTTGAGTACTTCCCAGGTTCCCTATAATATTTCAGAATTTTCTTCTACCACCATAGATAATATTTTCTAAGTTACCTCATGGGTGTTCTGAGTGTAATGTATCTGATGCGTTAGTTTCAGCACTGGTATTTCATTTAAAGGCCATTGTACCTACAGACACTAGTAATATATTTGGCAAATAGCTGTTAAATGCTTTGGGAGGTTTTAAGCTCTTGGATAGTGTTCTTTTCCCACATAGTGTGGTTCGTTTGGGTTGTTTGTTTGTTTGTTTTTTTACATTAAACTGTACTTTTTGTTAACCTCTGCATTATCTTTACCAGTCCTCATATCTTTGCCAGTTGTCCCCTCCAACAGTGCTTATGGTACAACTGTGGAATTTTTTATTGGGTCTGTTAGCACTCCCTTGAACCGGAAAGAGGTGCAAGAGAATTGTAGCATTTCAGGGTGGGAGTCTTCTCACTATGTGCATTGTAGATGGTCTAATTCCCTTCATAATAACATGTTGTGTCTTTTTATTGATTGTAAAGTAGACACTTAAAATGGTGTGGATTAGATTATTCTCTAAGGTTGTTAATACCCGAAGTTAGAGAAGAGAAATTGTTCCCCAAGTGATGCCTTCCTAAGGATTTGTTGACTGAGCTGATATTGTTCAGAATGCGCATGGAGCTTTACAGTCAATTGCTCAGCTCACCTGGAGTGTTAGCTTGCGATTTAAACCAGTGCAGTTTTATATGTGCAGGAAAAAGAAGGTAAAAGACAAAACTCAAAGGTGAAAATTTTCATCTGAAGTCATGATGCCAATTAGCTCCATTTACAAAGTTTAGTACAGCTTTCTGCTGTCAAAAAACATCCCGTTGCTGTCTGTGTTCTTTGGTACGGTGGAGTATGTGTGTGGTGCCGTAGCTTTGTGGCTGCCTGTGGCTAGTGGTGACTGGGCAGACTTGCGGTGCTTCCTGGCTATAAAACATGCTTGTTTTCTTTTTTTTTTTATACCACAGTCACCTGAAGAAATTGGTAAAGAGGAAAGGCCTGAGACGGATGCCAAGAAAAATAGTGATGAGCCAGGAGATGACACCGACGTGTTCACTGAGAAGCATTCAGAAAACCTTTTTCAGAGAACAGAAGTTCTGGCAGGTAAGGCTTGCTTTGCCAAGATCCCTTTCACCAGAGATGATGTAGAAAAAAAGAGCTGTGATCCATGTCACATAATGCGAATGTTTATGTTTTACTGGAAGGTTCTTAAAGCATCAGACGTTTCTGTGGAGTAGCCAGTGGTTTATCTGAGGAGAATGAGATGGGCATCTTTTGGAGTTATTTAATAGCTAGGTCTGTAGCTGATTGTTTTGACACCCAGAAGTTGAATACTGCCTACTGAGTATTCGGAGCTCCCACAGCTCCGTAAGGGAATTGCGGTTTGGATTGATACCTGTAGGGCAGAAATGTGTTTCCCGCTCCCAAGAGAACAGAAGGGCACTGCCTGGGAGGAGCTGACTGCAGGGAGGGAGGGATGGACAAGGTGAGGGAGCAAGGGGGATGGAGAGAGGAGGGGGATCACTGTCGTCAGGATACGGAGGATCCATTTCCATGCATAACCCAGGCACGTGCTGGCCACCAGTTTCACAGAGAGCACTTGGGCTTGAGTGAGTGTGGCACTGGCTTATTTTTCTTTCTGTTTTCCGGTGGGCTTTTTCTACATGTGAATTTTTTTTGGCCTAAGAACTGTTTATAGGCATACTTTTCCCTTTTGTCCCAGGAGAGGGTGTTGGGAGCAGAGAAAGTGAATAAAAGCTGCATGGTTTTAGACCTGATCTTTCTCTGAGCATGGAAATTTTGAGATAAAAATAGCATTAACAACCACATCAGTGGAAGCGTGCAGGTTACTTTTGAAGTTTAGCTGAAGTTGTTACTTTCTACATACTAGCAAGCACATGGTGAATGTATTGCTTCTATTTCTAGAGTTGCATGAAATTTTCTCTCCTACTACTCATCATTAGGAAATTCATTTTAGCCTAGAGTCATGGAGTAAAAACTGATGGAGAAATAGGATAGCCCATTTTTTTAGCTAGTGTAACAAAATAGTCCTGTTAAGGCTGAGAAGGTTACGTCTTACTGTTGAAAAGTCAGTTTGAAAGGAAGGTAGGTTTTACTATAAATGAAGACTACTTTATGCTCTGGCAGTATTGGTAGCTCTATTAATTTAGGTTTTTAAATTGTTTTTATTATATTCTTAGAACTGTGGGTTGTTGGACCGCTAACTGTTAAGTGGAATGTCCTTTTAAATGTTTTCCTTCAGAAAAACAGATGGTCTGAGAACATATTTCAGGGTACTAATAATCAAGACAGTTGCTCAATGGGTGCCATTTTATGTAATTTGGAAATAATGGTAAACTCATTGTGTGAGTTGAAAAAGAAGCATGGTGCTTAACCTGTTCTTCTGGCATATTGTCAATCTCTGTTTCTTTCATTGCAGCTGTTATTGCTGGTGGAGTTATCGGTTTTCTTTTTGCAATCTTCCTTATCCTGCTGTTGGTATACCGCATGAGAAAGAAGGATGAAGGCAGCTACGATCTTGGGGAACGTAAACCATCTAGTGCTGCCTATCAAAAGGCACCTACTAAGGAATTTTATGCATAAAATTCCTATTTAGTGTCTCTATTTATGAGATCACTGAACTTTTTTAAATAAAGCTTTTAGGATGAAGGCAGCTACGATCTTGGGGAACGTAAACCATCTAGTGCTGCCTATCAAAAGGCACCTACTAAGGAATTTTATGCATAAAATTCCTATTTAGTGTCTCTATTTATGAGATCACTGAACTTTTTTAAATAAAGCTTTTGCATTTTTTTTTTTGTTTTTTCATTCAAGAGCCATTATGGCACCTTTATGATAAAAATCCCATTGTATTTAAAACTTTTCATGTATTCCTTTAAAAATGTAAAATTAAAACTTAACATTTGCAGTGTTCTGTGAATAACAGTGGCAAAGCATTATTTTATAAAACCATTGATGTTCACCGAATCAGATGTTCACTGAATCATTTTTAAAACTTTATGCGTAAATATAAAATAATGAAAATGATTGTTTTATCCTATGGTTCAAGGAAAGTTGTTTAATTTTTGTCAGCATGTCTCAGATTGATCTTACAAGTTAGTTTTTATTTCATTAATTTATCTGTTTCCAAAAAATGCCTTTTGTAGTTGTCATGGTGCAATTTGTCTTCAGATAACTCGGATAACAGTAACTTTTAGTGTAAATGTAATTTTTCAGCTATGTAAACTTTAACCTCCACTTTGTATAAATTTCAGTGTCAGACTATCAATTTTACACTTTGCATTGTTCCTCAGCGTACCTGTAGCTTCAGTGAGATTTGTAACAGCAAATTAATGTGTAAAATTGGATTATTACTACAAACTGTATAGTCATATTCTTACTTAAACAAATCTTCTGTAAGGAAGATTTGAAGTAAGCTACTGACAAACCTAAGCAAACCCAAAGACTCTAACAGTATTTTGAGAAGTTGCTGCAGATTTCTATGGCCACTGTATCTGTTAATAATTTGCAATTTGAGGGTACAGTAGGGGTTTAAATTTTTGTTCTTTAAAAATGCATTTAAGTTGTAAACGTCTTTTAAAGCCTTTGAAGTGCCTATGATTATATGTAACTTGTCGCAGACTGGTGTTAATGAGTATATAACAGTAAAAGAAAATGTTGGTATTTTATAAGCACAGACAATTCTAATGGTAACTTTTGTAGTCTTACATGGATAGACATAATTGTAATTTGGGAACATAAACACTACTGAATAAATCATGTGGCCTATTACTGAGAATTCCATTGTGATATACTTTTGTATGTTTTTCATTTTATGACTACTTGGTTATGTTTTAATGTCACAGATTACATCTAATAGATCTTAGAAATCAAGACTGAAGGGGGGGGAGGAAGCTGTTGATAAATCTGGTTCAAGAAATCAGCTTTATTGCTGAAATGGCAGGGAAAACCTGGAATGTTTAAGTGTTACATCTGGTGTATGAATTATGACTCATTCAACCTTTGCGTTATATTTAATGGCAGAATTGACACAGACCTGTTCTTCCTGCAAGCTATTTTCAATACTGTAAAATTCATAGGAGTACCCAGTTTCCTTTATTGTGTATATCAGTTCTTGATTTTGTTGTTTGGGTTTGTTTTCCCCTACCTTTTGGAGAATTTTGTTTTATTCTGCTCAGACTCCAGCAGAAGAATTGAGACAAGCGGAATATCTTCATAAGAGAAGAAAGAAATATTCCAAGTAGAAGAGCTCTGTTGCTTAGACCGCAGATAGGTATTGGATAGAGGGACACGTGCAGAAGACAATAGTCTGCCTCCCTATATTATGCTCTGTAAGACAAATGGCTTCGTCTTCTGGTCTGTTAACTCTCACTTTTCTGATTTTGAAGTTTGCAAAATAGCTGTTCAGACTGTCAAACTGAACTGCTTCTCAGAAATAGCAATGTATTGTAAATACGATCTGGTAGCTCTTCAGATAAGAGCTGCATAACTTGTATTTGTTGCTGTCCCAAGTTCAGTGGTCTTTTAGGAAAGCTATCCTGCGCTAAAATACTTAATATGTTGCTTTTTAAATTACTTACATTTACTGGCAGTTTTTCAAAGCCATACAAGTTCAACAAGTAAAAACAGGGTAAGAATTTAACAGGTATATCTTATTGTGCAATATTTAGTGAAATTCAATTAGTAAAATAACTGCTTGAAATAACTGTGCCAAGAAAAGAAAATTTTTGGCAAATGCTGTGCCACTGCTGTAAAATAAAGCATTTGTTAAAGTGCCAAAATAAAGTCTACCATGCCTAAACTAATACTTTATTTGTATAGTCTGACATCCAGTTTTTTGAAGCCCACTTTGCTTAAGGTAGATCTGAATTTTCTTTAAGGGTATAATGAATATCACTGTAAGTATAGTTATAGATATTAAACACCAGATGATAATTTATCTTCTCCTCCTTCACAAGCAAATTGATATTAAGATCTTTTTTCTTTATGAATTTTACACTCTGTCTCTATATCTAATATAAAGGCCATGTTACCCTCCGTAGACATCTGTTCTAATTATCCTGGCTATTGAATATTATGCTCGTCTCCTTCCTCCTGCATCTGTTTACAAGCAGCAGCAAGTGTTTCAGCTCTATTTTACCTCTCTTTTTTGTTGTTTTTTTTTTTTCCCTCTCCCCTACATATCCATTACCTTCTGTTATATGCAGGAGAGGTGTAACACTTCAGCTATGTACATATACTCCACAAAGTGTCTCAGCCCTCCCCTTTCTCCCACCCTCCCAAACAGAAACCTGAAACGTCTTTAACATGCAGTAGGTATGTTAACAGCATTTATTATCTTTTGATGGCTTTTCCTTTCTGTTTTCAATGCCAAACTATGCTACTAGAGTAAAATTCCAACAGAGCTGTCATCTTGATTATAAGCAATTGGTTCAGTTTTCATCAAATTAAAATCAGGCTGATGCAGATATCTGTCTTCTAGCAATGTTATTCAAAAGAAAGCAGCAGCTGAATGCACTTCTCTTGCACTGAGACTTCCTAGCCTAGCATTAGTTGGGCTTCAGTTTTGCTCCCCTTTGTTGCCTTCCTGGATGTGTTTCTAGCAATGCTCTGGCTGCTAATAGATGTTGCTGGGCAGCTGTGAGTCCCAGTGCCAAGCGGTGGATGCTCCCTCATGCCTGCAGTGGCACGGCATCTTTGGGATGGCTTTTCCTAAATACCATTGGCTGTTCTCCCCTAGAGCTGCTAGAGCAACTGCAAAACTCCTCAGCAACCTGATACGGCATTTCCTTGTGACTAATTCGCTATAGCAGTTACCTAAATGCCATTTGCTTTGATTTACACTGGGTTGTAAATGGTTTTGATTCTTTGTAAATGAAGCCCAATGTAAGTTACCTAAAGTTTATGTTAAAAGAAGTCTCTCACCTTTGTTTCATTCATGGAAAAATAATTTCAGAAGTTGACATCCTGGTTCCTCTGTTTTCTGGCTTTAAAAGTAGCTCGTGTTTACAGGCTGCATAGCTTTGTTTTTCTCTCTTTGAGTATCACACTTCATTGAGATTGGATAAACTAAAAATAAAAGCCTGTAAACTGTCCTTTTGTTAGCAACTGATTTCCTAACAAGAGAATAGTATATTCATAATTTTAGCTATGTTTTGATCCTTTTTTTCCCTAGACTTGTGTATTGAAATGATTAAGGAGTGCAGTTTTAAATGTCAAATACTGTTTTTAAGCAACATATGGAATAGAGGAAACCTTTGTGTAAAGAAACAAAGTATGTAGATAAAATCTAAACTATTGCTGTGAAGGGAATGATGATAGTATTATGTCCTCTGTTTCAAGTAAGCAATTAGGGAAGAGGGAAAAGGAAAATGAAGGGGGGGGGGGAACTTGCAATCAATCATATTTGTTGCTTAGTGCTTGCTTAATCAAATTGGCATAACTTCCTTCAAGGAATTTGCAGTATTGATGTCCATCTTGAACATTATGAACAATGAATTTTAATGAATTTTTAATATTAGTTTCATTACATTTAAGCTCTTGCCTATGTCTAGCACAGCTGATGGACCTTGGTGTGAAAACTTACTGCTGTGAATTGTTAGAGCATTCCCTGTCTATAACTTTCTTCTTGTTCAAGAAGCACGACTTTGATACGCAGTCTGTCCATGAAAAGAGATGGCAAGTATCCCTCTTCCTGGCACGTATCCTGGTCCTGGGATTGTTCGTGACTGTAACAGAACTGGTTTGCTAAGGAACTGGCATGGGAGCCCAGGGCTGCTGACATGTGTGTCTTATTTCCTACTGACTCCTGTGATGACCAGGCGTTGGGTTCAGCTGTGTGGGTGGGAAGCGGAGGAGGCTGTAACTCAACCCTGCTTGTGGAAAAGATTGTCTGTAGAGATTTCTTCCCCTGAGAAGTAAAGTTAGTTGTGTATTTTTGCTTTAAAAATAAACAAATGATTAAACTTAAGCTCTGCATAGCTAGAAATGGAAACAGAGTCTTCTGCCCTGACCCCTGTGAACCAATCTCACATATGGATCAGATGTGCAGAGTAGCCTCTCGTGGGTGGAGATATTGAAAATCTTTCCCTTTGTTTGCAGTGTTTGAGCTTAGTTTCTGATCGGGGAGGGGGAAGGGAACGACCATGTTGAGCCAGAGAAGTGATTTTGGAGTGAGTGAAAAGAAAGGCAGGAAGTAAGCTGTTCTGACAGCACAGGTTTTCCACTGGAAGTCACAAGTAACTTTGCTGTCTTGAGTTGCTGCCATCGCATTTGATTTGCTCTTTACAGAGAAAATCTGTAAGCAAGAGAGCGGGCAGATGTTGGTGTCATATCCCAGAAACTCTTTCAGTTGCACACAGCTACCCAGCAAGTTAGAGAGCTGTGCTATCTGCTGTTGATACTGCCAGTCTCAGCTTCTGGTTACCTGCCCTCCCGGATTTGCAGAAGAACTGCTACAGCAAAATGTGTGGAATATCTGCAGGGTGGACCCTGTGCGCCTGCTGCTAACCCCAGGAAGTACTGGAAGGGCAGCATGAGGCAAAGACTAGGGAGTTGCATTGCACTGGGAAAGCTGTTGGCTTGGTGGAAAGGAACAGATGTGATATGCAAGTAGGGGTTTGCAGCTGGGACATGCTGTTG